CAGGCTTGAACTCTGCAGATCCAGCCACAATTATTACGTGTACACAGCCAGAATCTCAACTCTGGTCTCTGTAAATATTGTACTTCTTACGGGTGATTATAAAATTAAATGTTTAAAAATTGGTTGTAAGTATAGTAAAGGCACAGGGATGCCACTTAAACCTAGTTTATTTAAGTAGAACTCTAGCAAGTCCTTCTGACCTTACGTCAGAGATGTTCAAGCAGAGATGTCCTTAGTTTGTTTTTATATTTACTTATTCTTTCTGCTTTCTTGAGCCTAAATTTCATTTCCCCCTCTTTACTGATAATACAGTATCCTTTCTTTATCCGCAATTTCATTTTCCACAGTTTCAGTTACCAATGATCAACGGAAGTCTGAAAATAGATGAGTACAGTGTAGTAAGATATTTTGAAAGACAGGTTACATTCACATAACTCTTATTATAGTATGCTGTTATAATATTTTAATTTTATTATTAGTGTTAATCTCCTACTGTGCCTAATTTATAAATTAAACTTTATTATAGATTTGTATAGATAGGAACAAATATATAGTATATATAGGGTTCAGTACTATCTGCAGTTTCAGGTATCCACTGGGAGTCTTAGAACATGTCCCCTGTGTACAAGGGGGGACTACTATCAATGTGTTTGTCCATCTCAAGACCTCTGTTTTATTAGCTATGTAAAAATAAAAACAAGTATTTCTAGAAAAGTAAGATGAATCACAGTTATATATGTGACTACTAGGCATTAACTTAATTATGAATGCTTTGGAGTGTTCTCTAGAGATAATCATTGGCCTATATCCATGCAAAGAGTATGTTTTTGCATAACTTTTGAGTGTGCAGTAAGATCTATTAGTAATAATTAGAAATTGGAATGCTTAGTTCAATGATAAATTTTTTTAGATTAAAGAATACTTATAAACATCAAAATTCATCTCACTCTTTCTCATAATAAACCTTTAGGTAGCGGGGTAGAAGATATTAATTCAGTGGTGAGCCTATTCTTTAGTAAAATTATTCCTCATTATGTGGGTAAATACCTATTTTTCCTCTTTACTCATATAATTAGAATCTCATGATTATTTAAAATCTGACCAGACCATCTGTTTTTTGTTTTCATCTTAGGGGCATATAGGAGGTGACTTTTATGAGAGATGCACTTATGCTTCAGCTTAATGTTGAATGACTAAGAAGCAGCAAAATTATATTTTGCAGAAAAAGTATTTGAAACCAAGGGAAAACAATTTGGCCCTCACTTGTAAAAGAAACATTAACATTTTGGGGTTACACTGAGTTCTCCCTAGAGAGATGAGTTTAAATTACTTAGTCAAAGGACCACAGTAGAACCAAGGAGTATGCAAGGTGATGACACAATTTTCTTATTAAGCAAAACACAGTCCCTTGTAGGTAGATTTCCCCCATCTTTCTTAAGTAATGCTACCTAAACATAAGTACTATAAAATCAGTTGAGTAAGATACCAGTTACCTACTTGTCCAAGAATAAGTACAAGAAATGTATCTTTTTCAATGGGCATTATTCTGTAGGAATCAAATAAACCATTCTGATACATCAAAAGGATGGGTTAGGACTGCTGGAACCCATCCACAGTATGCAGCAATGCTTTCAAGAGCTATTTGCCAAGTGAGGGCAAAACCAGAAAACTTAATTTAAAAGTCCAACATAGCCTGGGTGATCCCAAGTATAGATTACAGGACATGCAAAAGCTGTGCCTTCATTAGTTCCACAAAAGCCTGCTGATGAGCCATTTTCCGCCAAGGTAATTTAACATTTTTTTTCTTTTGGCATAAGTACTGGGTGGGTTTCACTGATGCTGGCTTTACAACAATGGAAATTTTATATTGGAGTAGCCGGCAAAGAAAAGGAAAGGGTCAAAGGGTAAATTCCTCTTGCTACAATATGTTTTCACCAGTTGAACCTCACCCTTGTGGTTAGCAGAACTCAGACAGCTGATAGTTGGAGTGGGGAGGGGGCAGAAAGAGGAGGATTTCATGGGTGTGTCAAAAAAAATTGTGTGAAATATTTGCCAAAGGTTAACTGAAAGAGACTGAATACTGCCTGCCCTTCTGCTGGGACCTTCTCTTTTCATTAGTGGGAGGTGTTCTATTACTTTGGGAAGAACAGGCTTCTTGTTTTCATTTTGTTCTCAATAGCTACTCAGACATCTATTTAATTTAATGTTATTTATTCCTATTTATTGTTAACCCATCTAGAGAAGGGAAGAAGTGGGCTGCCTGGCAAAGTAAGGGAATGGAAGTGTGAGAGTAAAGCGCCCTCACATACCCCCCTTGGGGAAATAAACAGAAGAAACAGTATGGGGCAAAAACCATCTTTTACCTTGAACAAAGGATGATGACAGTGGTAAAGATGGTGCTCAACTGGAATTTTAGCTGCAGTTTTCAATCTATGCTTACCTTGGAATTGTTTCCTGTCTGTGAAAAGACAACAGCACTTCCCTTGAACAATGCTTTATCTGAGGTGATAGTCCCCACATGCGTACTCCAGCCCCTCAGCACCGTTTCTTGACCCTAAGCTTTGACTCGGCCATGTTAAAGAGTATTGCAGAAATGTGATTAAAAGTGTCCTCAGCTTATATGTACATCTTCAGGCAGCCTCTAGAAATGCCTAAGCGCCTCTTAAAGCCATGTGAGTGAGTCATTTCAAAGACTGGATAGATAAGAATCAAAATTCTAAGAGAAGGGTAAGGTCAACCTATGTGAAGTTGAATTCTGAAGGGAACTTTAAAAGCATTTGGAATGGAAGCATATCAGCTAATATACACAAGCTATCTCTCAAGGTGATTGTATTTGGTTGTTTTCTTTAAAAACATATAATGATACAGAAGAGTGTAGGTCAAAAGATCAGTGTGAAATGAGGCTTACATGAAGAAGTTTTGATATTTTAGCGGTTGGCAGCAATTTCTTCTAGAAATTTCTCAGAAGGCATTCCTTCTGCTTATGAAGGGTAATATAGTATAAAGTTCTGTATTCCAACCTTCCTAGTACCTATCACTATCAGTCTTTCATTTATTCTTAAAAACAAACCCTTTTCTCCCACTCTGCTTTCATCACCCACTCTTTGTGTTTCTGTTCAGTTGTTTCTTTTTTTAGGCATAACTTCTCTAGCTTCCCTGTTCTTTTCCCTACTCCCAACTCTATAGCCCTCAATTCTCAGCTCAACTCACATCAACTAAAAAGGCTTCTGATACTACTCCAGGATACACTGCCCTTCTCAGCTCTGAATTTCTATATTAATTAAACATTTATGCCTCACAATCCACTGTTTTATTACACACTGCCTCATATGTATTATTCTCTGGTTGTTTCATGGATATTTTTCATTTACCCAAGCTTACACGATTCTTTCATATTCCCCATGGTGCCTATCCCAGTATGTTTAGCAATCACTCAAACTTACTGATTTGACCGGAAGCCCTCAAACTGTGACAGCCAATCATCAGGTCTCTTATTAAGATTTTCCCATAACAAATTTCTCATACCAATGAATATTTATGGATTTCTATAAGGGTCCTGGGCACTAATGGGTACAACTCTGTAGAATGTCTATTCTTTATCAATGGATTTTATCTTTCAAATGAATTTAGGAGTTAATGCATCCCCTGTTAGGGAACAGAAGAGTCCATACTGTTTTCCATAACCATGGACAGAATAATACCAGAATATTTCTACATATGATTGAAATATATAACTAAAAAATCTAACTTAGGTAGGCAGAATGTAATTGCTGGAGTTAGAGTATGGCCAGGAAACTTGGAAGAACACTCCCAATTCCTGCCAAAGATTCCATGGATAACCACAACTGGTCAGAATCTCCACTTCCATGTACCATCTTAAAAACAGTGCCTCTTTCAGTCTTGTGCTTCTGGGAAAATAAGGCCACTCAAGCACCAAGATTCACAGGGGAATAGTTACATCCAAAGGTTCCTGAAGAACAAGGTTTAATCTTTTTGTTTGTTTTTTGACAAATGTATGAGGTCTACAGGAAATACCCAAAGCAAGTACCACAATGTTTCTGGCAGGATATATTAGAATAGAGTCTGAGATGCATCCTGTTTTGCTAACTTGAAAGAAATATCACTGGTTATATAGCAAGGTACTTATTCTTAACACTAACACACACTATAGAAGGCTTCAGCTCTTCTTTGGGAAATGTGGAAAATGATATAGTATGCATATCTATATGTCTCATGGATACTGAGGAGTAAAAATTGACTACCTCTTACCTTATTTTTCATAAGGTAATTTTTCTGAGTGGCTCTGGATTATAATAGGCTATTTTGTACACATCTGTGCCAAGAAAACATTATCTTGGTCAGGTCTTCTTCACATAAGTGAAGGGAAGGATCAATTTCAAATTTGACGTTTTGCTGTTATAACCTTCAACTCCGTGTTTCTTCCACAGTTGCAGTAGAAGAAATAAAAATATCTAGATATAGATATGTCACAAGTGATAATGAATTGATAAGTATTCATACCTAAGAGTTATGTAATTAGGCTGCAACATTACTTGAAAAAAAGATATTAAAAAATTGTGCGTTCCAAATGAGACCCTAAAAAAGGCCATTCTAGGTCTTCAGTAAGTTTTGGGGTAAGAAAGATTCTTGACTTTCCTTTTGAACTTCAATTTTTAATCATATATCACATATTCTGAACTTGTGATGTACTCAATAGTAAGAAGTAGAAAAACCCCTTATAAGAGTACTCACTATAATGTTATTTTAATTTACTTTACACTTATTTTTAATCAAATTGATGACAAGTTTCTTGCTAATTTCCCTTACCCCCCAAAAAATGCTTACTTCCTGACAAGCAGCAATAAAATATAACATGGCCAGATTAACTATTACATAACCCTTACTTGTTGAGTTCTAAGGTGCTCAGCTGTCTTTAATATTAAGTGCTTTGGCGTAGATAGTTAAGACATCTCAAAACATATAGCCTCAGATTTCCTTACCTCAGACCAGTCCAGAGCCACCCACTGTGGTGGACATGACTGGTTGTTGCAGGACTCTTTTTCGACAGGCCGGTGTGTTAAACAACCACTGTAGTCCAGCGTCTCCTCCTCAGAAGGCCCGATCTTCCTGATGCAGAGCACTGCCCTTGTGCGCATCCCACCGTCACAAGTCTTGCTGCACTCCAACCAATCCCCAATGAACCACCTGCAGCAAGATGTGGAAGAACACAGAAAAGCATTTCCTCAGTGCATCCAGAGATTTTTAGCAAAGTGAAGGCACTTTCACTGATGGACTACATCCTAGAAGGGCTGACATTTCAATGTTGGTTAATAAGACAAATGGCAAATGAAAGAGCTGCTAAGGAAAAGGCCTATACTGTCATTTACTTTCTAAAGTGCAGTGTGTGGGCTTTGGAGCATGCAGAACCAGGTTCAAACAAGTGCACTATGTCTTTAAACCTCTTTTATTTTTCTCCTTTTTAATTACATTCTAAAATGAGGATAACAATGATTAATCTCATAAAATTGTCAAGAGGGTTAAATAAGGTCATATAGATATAAAGCTCCCAGTGGTGTGCTAGTAAATGTTTAACCACAGGCTCCCCATGCAGGGGGGTGGGGGAGTTCTGATTTGTGGCATTTGCCACTTTTTATACTGCAAAAACCTCACTAGGGCCAATTTCAAGCTACCAGCTTGATATACTAAAGGTGAACAGGAGAAGATATGCTAATAATAGGGTCCTATGAACCAATACTGGCTGGCTCCAGCACACCACTGAATGCTTCTAATATAGTATCTGGCATGTAACAAACAAGAAATAGTAGCTATTTTTATTATTATCACGTTGAAGCAGGTTCTCCCATAATTAAAAATTTTTATGCTAAAACCACTCTAAGGAAGCTGGGGATTTGTTTTTCAATTTCCAGAAATAAACCTCTATTAAGATAGGACTTGAATGTCCTTATAGGGACAGAGAAAGCCAGGTAGCCATCCTGAGGACATGGGAGTCTTAAAACACCTTCAGCAAGAGCAGAGCTCTGAGCTGGCTCTATGAAAACATGGAGATTTCTTGTTTCAACCTTTTGGCTCCTATAAACAGCTTCTACATAGCTAATGTGGAAAGAAATGCAAATATCTTAGAAAAAAATAACATGTCTCACATTTGTAGGTATACTACATCTTTACCCTAAAGTCATAAACTTTCACATATATAATTTCAGGAGGTTTGTGGGGGGTTTTTTTGCAACACTTCTGCAGGACTCACTCTTCTGGATACATAAATTAGTCTAAGGGATGTAACTCATGATCTAAATCAGATCAATGAGAATTCTGGTTTAGAATTTTTATATCTCAACTAGAGCAAAAGGGATCCTTTCCCTTTGTGACCACAAAGGTGCATAAGAAGATGAGTAAATATAAAGCTCCCAGTGGTGTGCTAGTAAACGTTTAACCACTGGCTCCCCATGCAGAGGAGTGGGGGAGTTCTGATTTGTGGCATTTGCCACTTTTTGTACTGCAAAAACCTCAGAGTTTTTGTGAGAGCTGTAATGGCCATGTTCCCTGTCAGGTGGAATTAGCTGATTTCAAAGAATGCAGAGGAGCTAGAAAGTCTGGATGGTGTATGAGTCCTTGATTCCAGCCATTTCTCAAGCTAGGTCCACCCTTATACTTCCCTTAGCTTTGTTACATAAATCTTATGTGCAGAAGCCAGCTCAAGTTGAAGTTTTGTTATTTGCAACAAGGGTCTTGACTGACATATTGTATTTCATTTATTAAATATTTGCTGAATGTCTACTACATTCAAGGCATTGTGCTTTGTTTTACAGAATAAAGCAAGACCTAGTTAGGAAAACAGTTTTCCAAAATCATGAAAAGAGCAATGATGTAATCAGGACTAGATTCCCCATCGTTTGCTATTTCAATCAAAATTCATTGTAACATTGCTGAATAGTAAAATATAGGTTACAAGCATGGGATCACAAGCTACTTTCTTCAATCCATAATTATAAATTATGCAGTTATTCTCAATGGAGAAGCTCAGGGTATTGACTGGGAGACTCCCGAGAGAATAATATGAAAAGTGTAAGAATAAATTTCTCACTATTTCTGTTAGCATAGCTCCAATGTGCCAGTTTTGTATATGGAAGATAATACCTTAGTGAAGTCAGAGTACTAGTATCCTAAATTGGAGCCTGCATTAAGCCAATTAAGCAACGCTGGCCTTTGTTCATTATTATTTGTATTGTCTTTACTTATAAAGAAAACCAGCATTTAGAAATACAGTTACGTAGTTTTTCAAATTTAAATTATATTTTACCAAAATCTACAAATTTTCAGCCTAAAATTCATTTAAGAATGATGATTTAATTTTGAATTTTAAAAATCTGACACATTTTTTTCTAAGCCATTTTCCAAGGAAGATTTAAAGTAATGTTCATATTCTTTCCTTTCTGTTTTCCACAGATGAACATAATCGCCAGTTGTTAGTACCATTTTTGGTAAGGAGGAAAATGTGTACTGAAAATAATAACTTGTATGCCAGCCATAGTGAAACTCTGATTCAACTTTGCAACAGTGATTTCATCACCAAGATTAGGGGATAAAACAGAAATGTGTATAACTTAGTCACACCACCTCCAGCCATGATCTCATTAGTTCTCATAATGTAAGTGGGATGGAGGCCTTCAAATTAAACACAGGTGCCCCAAGTAACCTCAATGATTCAGAAGTGTTGCAAAGGTTCAGGGACACCTTCTCTTTTTATTTCTTGTCCCCTCTTCCATTCCATCTCTCCTCAGAAATTTAACCTAGATGTATCACTCCAGCCTTTAACTTGGAATATATGAAAGTAAAAGTATTAATCACCCTCCCAATTTCCATTCTGACTTTAACTCTGATTTCAGGCTTCACACTCAGTCCCTGTTGCATCTTTATTGCTCATCATATCATCCCTTCCTATGTCTCTCTGAAGGATTAAATCACACCCTAGTTATTTAAACAGTTTTGCAATTCTACCACTGCATCTGCTTGTCTCAGTTTCTCCATTCTCCCACCTAGTTTGAGATGTACTGCTTCACTTGTCTTCCTTCTCCAAATATTTGACCCTCTGATGGTATTCTTTTCTCTGTCTTCTTTCCCTCCTCTAGATTTGGTGGTAAAAATATGAATACAGAAATTCTCTGTGGGAATATAAATTTCTGAATCGTTATAGCTGGAACAATTCTGGGGCTGTTTCTTTCTGAGCTTTCCCCAACATATAGTGATCAAATTGTCTTCATCTTCACAAGTCCTTCATAGCCATCAGACACTAACAATTAGTGGGATTCATGTTAGAGTGTCTGAAATAGAGTGATTTGCTGCAGCCTGTGTAATCTGACCTACAGTTCCAATCTCTTATTATTATAAACAATAGTATAATTTGGAGAAGGGAATAAGAGAGACACTATAAAAACTTTGCCCCAACAAGAATATTTTTGAAGAAATAATCATCATAAAATCAGAATATTATTTTTTGCTTTTTAATTTAAAGGAAAATGGCAGAGCATATGAAAATAAACTGATATTAAATATTTGGATTAAAAGAGAGATTTCCTAGGCTTTGTCCCAGAGTCGGGGTCTAATCATCAACCTTTTTTATAAACACAACATAGCAAATTTTAAAAAATCTTCAGAATTTGACAATAATATCTTTACTCAAAGAGAGATTCAGTTATATAACCTATTGTCTACTTACAAAGGTAAAAAACCTTCCTATGTTTTAAATTAACTTTTAGAAAAATTTCAAAACAAAAAGTTGTTAAGAAAAATTAAAAGAATTTTTTTTCATTTCTCAGGTAATTGGAAAGTGAAACCCATATTAAGCAGAACTCTCTATGTTCTAAACATTATACAGTCAATATTTTTCTAAATTTTAAAGAAATCAATATAATAAACATCTGAAGTTGTGGCAACTGAGAATGTGTCAATGAAGCAAGCAAAATTAGATGTGTAAAAGTGCCACCAGACATTTGATTTGTACCTTACAAAGTTGGTGATGTCTGATATAATAAGAAAAACATCACCAGATATTAGCATACCTCAGTCTATGAAATGATGGGAGTTAACCTAAATAATTTCTATGATTCTTCCTAGGTCTTAAGTTTTGGAGTTTTATAGATAACTCTGATGAATCTTTTTCTAAACTTAAAATAAGGGATAATAGTTGTCCATGGGTGAGGTCCAATGACTCAAAATAATGATTAAACATTATACCCTAAAATATACCATTAAATAAAACTTAGCCACTGGATAAAATTTAATTTCTTCCCACCTTAAGCTTCCTTTAGCACTTTTGCTTATAACTCTCTTGTACTTAACATATTTTGTCTATTATAGTTATTTACATATATATGTAAATACATATATATGTAAATATGTATATATATATTTGTCCAATTAGATTACCCTCAGGAAAGAGAACCATTTCTCCCAAAGTACAGTGTCTTCTAACTTGCAGTTGATTAATAAATGTTTTTAAATTCTTGGTCACAATATTATTAAAATGAATAGTTCTCTTGTTTTCACTTCTCTGGTTTTCACAATTTTAAAAACCACAGTATCATACAGAAATAATATTTATTATTCGAGGATTCTTCACATGAGGTCATATGCAGAAAAACTCTTGCTATTAAAACATGGCATGGTAAAAACTGAACTTGGCCTTTTTCTTTGGAGTCCAGCTTATTTTTTTTTTCTTATGGATGGGGACTAGTTTCTTATCAATTATATCCTTTAATATTAATTCCTTTTCTTTTTTTTTCCAATTGTTTAAGCCCATGTCATGGATCCCACTACTTTCATTCATAGTCACTTTACTACCTTGACAATTATACTCTTTCTCATAAAAGAGTTGTTGCTATGAACATGCTAACTTTCCCCTGCAAGGCCTTCTCTGGGTCTTCAAAGTCTTCCGAATAAACATAATATTATTTCTCTACCAATGCCTCCTTTGTCTAGTCTTCCTAGTCCTCTGTCATTTTCTCTTTTATGGACAAATCTTACTGTTCTCCCTTTTTGTACACTGTACTTATAAATTCTCCCAATATAACTAAAGACGTTGGAAATATTTCATTATTTGAAAACATACTTTCTGATAAAAAAATACCATTTAGAATTATAAACTAATGGTATAGGGAAAACAATAATCATTGAAAATAAGTATAGATCCCTTCCTCAAATCAGGCAAAACATTTCAGATAGATCAATGTTTACATTAAAAATAAAAAAAGAAACTTTAAAAGTATAAGAGTGGGGAAGACCTTTCTAAACAGTATACCAATGAAAGACATAAAAGTTTGACAGTTTTCTTAAGATTTTCTAAATTTTATAAGTAAAAATAGATTAAAACACCATAAATAACATGGAAAATAGATGACAAACTAGGAAAAAATATTCAGAACATAGGTAAAAGAGTTAATTAATATCCTTAATACATTAAGAGTTCATGCAAATCAATAACAAAATGATAAATACTTCAACAGAAGTACTGAAATATTGATAAGTAGTTCAATAGGACAGGCCGTGATGAAGAGAAGCAGTACAAACGACCACTAAACATAATTTTTAAATGTTCAGCTCCATCAGCAGTCCAATATATGCAAAATAAGACAGCAATTAGATGTTGGGGCTTTTTCCCCTATAAAATAATCAAAGATTAATTTAAAATATCCATAGCCACTGTTGTTCACTTCCAGGAAATGGCATTCTCATAGACTGTTAGTAGAAATATACATTCGTACAATCTTTCTGGAAAGCAATTAACAATATGATCTCAAAGACTAACATGTGCTTCCATTTGAACCATATATTATTTTGTTATTTATTGCAGTATTGCAAGGGATCAAAATAAAAAATACATCCAAAATTGTTCAACACTATAATATCAATTTAAATAAACAATCTCATGTCTACTAAATGTTGTCAAAGACTTCTAATGTTCGAAATATTGAGAACTGACTATGAAGTGTCATAAATAGTATAATACAATTTTATTATATACACATGCCTCTGTATACATAAAAATCCTAGAAATATATACATCAAAGTACTAACAATGGTTTATAGGTTTTTTTGTTTTCTTCTTTTTGCTTACCTGCCTATCACATGATCATCTAAAAAAAATCTCTTTCTTCACACTCATTTAAAGTCTTATTAAATTCAGTAGCCTTTCTATGATTTCTATTTCTATAATACCAATGTCAATTGGGAATCTCAGATGGCCCTGATGTTTGATGGTTTGACCAAAACGATTTTTCAACTTTACAATGGTATGAAAGCAATACACATTTAGTAAAAACTGTACTTGAATTTTTGAATTTTAACCTTTTCCTACCCTAGCAATATGCAGTACAACAGTTTCTCTAGATGTTGGGCAGCAGCAGCAACCTGCAGCTCCCAGTCAGCTACGCTACCGTGAGAGTAAATGACCAATACTCTACAGTGTACTGTGTTGCAAGATGAGTTTTGCCCAGTGGTAATGTTCTGAGCATGTTTACAGTGCACTGGGCTACACTATGATATTTAGTAGGTTAGGCATAGTAAATGCATTTCAACTTACAATGTTTTCAGCTCTGTATAGGTTTATCAGGATATAATCCCACCACAAGTCAAGCATATATAACCATTTTGCAGAATTGAAATTTCCTTTTTCATAGTCTGAATTCAAAGGACTAAAGAAGAAATTAAAAAGCAACTAAGAGAAGTAGACTAATAATGAGTAATATTTTAAATATCTACATTTAGGTCTTTCAAAAAAAAAAACCATTAGGCTAAACTTTCTTTATATTCTCTGTATCTTTTCTTTTGAATTTCATTCCCCATCTCCAAACTTAAATAAGAAACTTCACTTCAGAACTGCATAAGGAAAGGAGACAGAAAGCTTAATTTTAATAATGTACATCAATATGTCAATTTTCCTTAAACTGTTAAAAAAAAAAAAAAAGAAAAGAACCTCCAATGTAGTAATCAAACACACAACTTATGGGATGAAATGACCAAGAACTGAAATCTCTAAGGACATTAGACATGTAAGCATTTAAGATTAAATAAATAAAAAAGCTTAGGCCAAAATGGAATAGGGTGTGACCAGGCTCACTCAGAGATCTTCCATGTTTGATCAAATGCCAGATACACTACTTAAGATCCTGAGTGTCAGAGAATTAATGTAATAGACTGAGACTCACAGTCACATGAAAATATGCTGAAGTTACTGGAAACATGGAAAGGGACAAAATTAGTCCATGGATTTTAAGCATCTCTTTCTTTTACAGTTTTTAAGTTTCTCTTAAGATAAATTTATAAAAATCATTGGCAGAAATGAGGAATGTGAAAAAATTTAATAACTTGTCTTGTAATACATATGATAGGTCACATTTCCATACTTTCCCATGTCTGGATATTAAGGGATTAGTTATATGGTGACAACATTTTGAAAATAACTCGATGTAAAATTATAAAAGTCTTAGAACAGAAACTATCACTGTAGATTCCTTGTGCTTCTTATTTGGTTGGCCAATACCCTACACCTCTTCAAGAGATTAGTAGTGAGGATCACCATCAAATGTTCAGGCAGACATTGGCTTTAGATCATGAAAGTTCATAAGGCATTATTGCTTTGGAACAAGAAATGCACCTTGAACAAGAAATGCACTTTAGTTTAAACGTATTTGGGACATGGATTATTTACATATTGTAAATCCCATGTTTTTGTAATTACACTGTAGTCATTTTTAGAAAAGCTTCACTGTAAAGTTTTGTCTCCAACAAAGTGTTTGGGACATACAAATTCATTTGTTTATTCTCTTTTGCCTTACCAGTTTCATGTTGGGATAATTAACTAACCAGGCAGATAACAGTTCATCCAATTTCTCAAACAAGAATGAAATGCCATTCATACATGTTTTCTCTTGCAGTTGTCAGTCAGGCAAAATCTCTAAAAAGATTACTTTTGTCGTGATCAGCTCAACATCCTTTATCTTTTTTCACATAATCATTGCCTTTTGCTCAATGAAGAAACCTTTCTGTTCTTACAGATTATAATGTGTGGCTCATTGACAGCAGGTCTCATTTAAAACCATCATTAAAATGAATGGGTCTCTTCTTGTTAATCCCTTTACAGTGAGTTGTAATTGCTGCATTAATCAACAGAAACAGACCAAAGTATACCTCTATGCCTGTCCCCAACACTCAGAAGATAGGATACCTTACAACAACAGAACTTAAAATTGGGTCAGCAAATTAAAGCCCTGATATTCTATTCCAGAGTATTTCTAAACTATTTTAAAAGTCTTTAAGGCCTTAGGCCAAATATCTGGAAAAGACAGGAGTGTAAATAAATCACTATATTTTATTAAATCTAAGACTTTTTTTTATGTGCCATTAAGAAAGGGGAAAAATGTCAATTATTATCATAAGACACCATTAGCTGCAAGTTGCATCCTGTTTCAGAGATGTTAAAATGTAAAAAGATATGTGCTTTAGAATTGATGAAATATGATCATTTCCAGCCTCATGTAAGGACCAAATTCGTTGAAGTTCCTCCTTTAAAGAAGTTAATAACTGAAATCTATAAATAGGAATCTTTGCTCAGTAAAAGGGACATCAAGATTCCTCCCTCTCAAGATGTTTTCTACATTTCTTCCAGCCTAATTTATTCTTATCATATAAATATATTTCCAAACATGAATACATAATGTTTTCCTCTTTGCACCTGAAGAAAATAATTCTCACTTCTTTCCCTTACTTACTCGGGTGGGCAGGGCTCAGTGTTGCAGGCTCTTTGATTTTCAGGTGGCTTACTGTCAGGGTCACAGTAATTGTTCTGGACAATGGAGTTGTCATCCAACCTTTTACAGACCACCTCCTGTCTTTGGACACCTTGAGAAAAGGAGGACATCATTAATTGAAGAGAAGTTTACCTTCCATTAAGTTAGGTATGCATAGCTTTCCTCTGTGGGGAATTGACCTCACTGGATCGCTGCCGTCTTATCTGTTCCACATTGGACTGCTTCTCTAAAATGGAGAGAAGACCTGGTCATTATACTGAAATTTTAGGCAAAGTTATTGTTCTCATATTTAGAAATGTAACTATTTCAAGTCCAGAAAAGAAACTACTGGTAATCTTAAACAATTTTATTCCCATTTGTAAATTCTTCTTCGTGCTTTCCTTAAAAAACAAACAAAACAACAGATTTCAATTCCCCAAAATATTATCAGATAAAATGTACAAATATACATTTCAATGCAAAACAATGGTTGTATATTTATTTAAAAATAGAGCAATAGGGGCAAATTTACTTTTTGATATTTTGTAGAACAAAGAGCTAGACACCAAATCTCATCTATTCAATTTTTGTTAGGAATACATCACATCCACACATTTCATTTCTTCTTCCATTTATATATTTATCTTACTAAAAGCCCATTCACTGTTTAGTAATTAGAGATTGTAGTGGGCCTCTTTTGAACTGTACCAACTAGCTTGTTTATTCCAACAAAATTGACTCCCTGTTGATTATACCGTTGTCAAAGAAATAGATATATAGTTCATTCAAATATTAACTTATGAATAGTTATTTTAAAAATTAGTCTGTGTCATCTTTTACCACAGCAAAAATATTGCCATACAGTTTATAAAATATTAAATATATGTTAATTGTTTATTGGCAAAGATATTCACCACAACTCGCTCACATTTCACAAAATACAAAGATACACACAAACACACACTCATATCTGTAAATATTCATGGTGAACAGATTTTATGTACATTCATTTTCTCTTTAGTGTCAAGAAATCAAAAGAAGCAGATAGGTATATCAAGATATCAAAGAGAAACAAGCCAAACTACAAGAAAATGCTAAATATTTTAGATCATATAGAGGGTAACAGGTTACTCCTGGCCTAGAAATAAAAGCACAAACTAAGCTATTCTGCATCCATTCACCCCATCTCTATAAATAGGTAGGCTAAATTATCCAGAAAGAGCTGTAAAAACAGCATTAGCAGCATCCAGGAAACCACAGCTTCACATCTAGCTAATCCCACGCAATCATTCAGTTGTTTTTCTTTTTTTCCCTAGTTGTTTTAAGTAATAATGCCCTAAAAAAATTGTGATCATAAGTTAGGGAAATATATGTGAAACAGGATTATTCAGTGAAGGAAATTGTCACCTAAAGAGCTAGACACCAAATGCTTCCTCCAAGGTCCCCTAAATCACGGAAATTCTGCAGGTGGGAGTGCCTCTGTTAGCATGTTATGCGTACCTTTAACTAAGCCCTTTAAATTTAAAGACTGACAGGGCAACCTATTAAATCCACCAAGCTCAGGAGACTTAAATCCTGTAATGTCCATGACAGTGGTGAGCAGTTAAAGAAAGTCTTCTTTATTGCTTGCAGTGACCCAGGGCTCTTACTGATCACCTTCCGCAACCAGTTTTTATGTTTTCTAAACTTAGAGTCTTAAACATAGTCAAACAACTTACTGGCAAAACATCCTAGAGTATGTATTGTATTCCTTCCTTCCCAACCCCTAAAATAAGCCAAACGACTAGGTTTATGTGACAACAACAGATTGGAATTTTTTAACTATTAAACTTTAGATTTTTTGAGGAAAGAATGATTCACATCAGGCATAGTTGTGATCCATTCACAGATGTTCCATGATATTCATCAGATATCTCCCCACTGTGTCATTCCAGTGGGCAGATAACTAGATCCATGTGGTCCACCTAGACAGATATCTCTACCATTAGTCACAGGATTCAGCTACCAACTGCAACAGTGACTCGGATTATCCATCCACCCTGGTTCAATATTTTGCCTCTATCAAGGAGAGCAGGGAATTTTTTTTTTTTAATAAGTTAGTGTGATTTTTTTTTTTTTAAAGTCATTCAGATATGACTATACTTGAAACAAGAACATTGGCATTCGGTAACATATCTCGGTTATTTCTCAGGAAAGATATAAACATTCTCAACACTACAAAATACAACTGATCTGGTTTTGTTTCAGTGGCAGAAACATTAATTCCGTTTCTTAGGATTAAGTTAAAGAAAGAATTTTATCTTGACTTGTAGAAACTGAATTAAGTCAAGATAATCTTCTTTCTTCAGCTTCACCCTAGAAATGTTGCTTGGCTATAATTACATTTGTTTTCAAAAGTAGCATTTATTGCAAAAGTAGGGCCTCTGCAATTTGAATCATAGATGAGATACAAGTTAGTAGATCTTTGACAAATTTAAGATACATTCTAACCACATATGTATCTTGAAAAAATTTTGGTACATAATGTTTGTTATTAAAATTTAGAAAATTACACAAAACCACAAAGAAGAAAATAAAACTGACCCATTGTCCAGTGCTTTGTTCCAGACCCCTTTACTTTCAGGGCTATTTTGCTCTTTAGTAGGATCCAGTAATTAGTTTAAAAATTATATATCTACCCAAACTAAAACTGTCAGCTAAATGCAGTTAGCAGGTCATTCATTCCTTTACTCATTCACTCATTCATTCAACATAGATAATTACTAAACCAAAGGCATTGTGTTTATGACATATAAACACAGTATCTCCTATGAGATATTCAGTTAAGTGCTAAGAATTATGAATTGACTTAATCTTGATCATGCCTTCCTTCCAGACTTCTTAAAAACTGAGAATTAAGAGTACTTGGGGTTCATTTCAGTTTCATAATTTCAGAATGCTATTTTTTATGAAGTAAAAATTAAAGTCCTTGAATAGACAGCTGAAATTGCTCTATATTTTATGAAGATGCATTTTTTCCCTTGCATTCATCTTTTATTAATTTTCTTCTAGAATATTATATTAGACAGTGTGGTATTTCACACTCAAGAGTTAACTATACCAGTAATCTATTCCAAATCTTCCTACAACATGGTACTATCTTCCTCCAATAGCATACAAAGCTCCTTCCAGCTACTACTACCACACTTGGCAGGTTTACAGATTTTTTTTTTCTTTTAAAGTCAGTAGCAACAGGATAACTCTATAAACCAATGCATCTAAATGAGTAGGTTTTTAAACACATACTTTTGAATAAAGGAAAATGCAGCTTGTAACTTTAGAAAGTAGAAAATACAGATAAACTGGAAATAATCTAAACAAGGTCCACAAAAGAAATGATGGAGTTTAGATTCTTTTTATATGATCAAGCCTCTTGTACATAACTTCTTTTAAAGTAGTCTGTAAAACATTGCTAAGATGTTGATTTTAAACCCGGTTGGGAATAATTACATCCAGTTACACGAAACCACTATGCTTTCAAATCTAAAGTCTTATAGTTTATGACCAAAACATAAAATATCCACATGACCAGCCAGTGTGTACCTAATCAGAAACAAAATTCTAGTGTCCTAGTGTCCAGATTCCTGGATATAAGCAGATGTTTTGCAGAATTTAATAAAAATGCACTAATTATATTTTATTCTTAAACACCTAAAGTTACTGGCATGCAAATGGGACATATATATATATATATATGTATATTTTAATGCAGTCCTTCTTCCATGCTTAAAAACAGTAATGGCTTCATAATACAAAAGTTAGCTATAAAAGATGACACTGTGGGCCAGATTCGGTGGCTCACACCTGTAACCTCAGCACTTTGGGAGGCTGAGGTGGGCAGATAACCTGAGGCCAGGAGTCTAAGACTAGCCTGGCTAACATGGTGAAACCCCATCTCTACTAAAAATACAAAATTAGCTGGGTGTGGTGGCATGCACCTGTAATCTCAGGTACTTGGGAGGCTGAGGCAGGAGAGTCACTTGAAACCAGGAGGCGGAGGTTGCAGTGAGCTGAGATTGCGCCATTGCACTCCAGCCTGGGCAAGAGTGAAACTCCATCTCAAAAAAAAAATGACACTGACAATATACATTTACTTTAAACCCACTACAAAAGGTATATTCTGTTCAGAGACTTTCAATTTGCTTATCTTTTCATTCTTTGATACTAAAGATTCAAATATGATGTTCCTTAACATGGAAAAGTAACCTTCACTTTTTGCCCATAAGTTTAAATGTCAGATCCTATATTTAATTTTCTGCCAATAGTTAAAAGTTAAAGATCTATTTGTCCACCAAAGGTTCTTTTATACAATGGGAAGAAGGGAAACTCCATTTGAATCACTGCTCTAGCTACACATCAAGAAATGGCTTTAATGATATTTTGACACAGTATATACCACAGGAAAATGCGCAAGAAGCCCACCAAATGGCAAATGAATCCTGGATGGAAATCATCTGCTGCTCTTACTCTAGGGCGTGGTGGTTCAAGTGAGTTCCGGTCTGAGCAAAGACTTCACAGCCCATTGCTCCTCTTTATTTTTTGCCTCCATTCCAATCCCTCTATTCCTCTTATCAGCTGCCCAATGTTCTCATATGTTCCTATCTCTCTCTTCAAGAGAATTAATTTTGTAAACTCATTTTAACACAGTATTTTGCAAAATATTGCTTTTCTCAGTGCAATTTACCATCTTAAAAGTACAAAGAAGGGACTCGATGCTTAGAAATTACAATTTGAATTTAATTTGAAAGGGTGATATATGTTAAACCGAGAAGGATGGGGGTGGGGGTGGTTAGGAGCAGGAGAAAGACCTTCTAGGTCCTCTCAAATCTACTCATCAGACACATCATTTCAGTGACAGACCATGTAATGGATAAATGGGTATTCTATTAACCCACCTGTGAGTGAGTTAATAAAGAAAAGGAAGAGAAGTATAAATGTATTATTAGAATTGATGGGCTAACCAACAACTAACTAACTTAACCTAGTGGCATAGCATACCATATCTTCCTAAGAAACAGTTTTCTCAAAAGAAAGGGGGGAAACATTAAAAAGTCAGAGCTTGTACTAAAAATG